CGGCGTGTCACCATTTTGAAAAACCCTAACTTAACTCTGGTGCCGTGTCACATATAGAAATTTTTTTGATATTTGCAACCATAGTAAAACAAAGACTTATATTTTTGATATTTATTTTATATATTTAAATGCCATTTAACAAAGAAAAATCAACCAAAAAAATGAGTTCACGTGTCACCTCTGACACGCGTGTCATAGGTTCACCATCACTGCCCTAAGGGGTTGCTCAGCTCAGTACCGCTCCACAGTACACACTACGGGAGGAGCGATGGTCTGCCGAATGCTACTCCTTTTATCTTTTTAATAATTATAATTTTACTTTTTTTAAAAAGAGCGTGGAAGAAACAGAGAGAGAAACATCCATGTGAGAAAGACACATCGATTGATTGCCTCCAGCAACCAATGAACCCTTGACCAGACTCGAACCCAGGACCATTTAGTCCAGGGGCCGGCACTCTATCCACTGAGCCAAACCAGTGAGGGCGAATGAGACTGCTTTCAGCGCAATCGTTCCGGAAAGGCCAGGGAGCCTGCGGCTTTTCCGTTGGATCGAACAATTCATTGCAGCCCGTCTTCATTCCCTCCGGAAAGGGGAGCTGCCTCGCCTGGAGCTGCCGGGCGGCTTTAAACGGCTGTGCTCCTTCCTCGGCAACCCCACGCCCCAGACGCCCCCAGCGCCCCCGGCCGACACGGAGATATGTCACTAGAGAGTGGAAGTCAGGCCTTGGGAGCTCAGCTCCCAGCCCTTCAATCACTGGGCCTCCCTCCTCCCCTAAACCAGCTGAGATGCAGGGCCGGCGACCCGGGGCTCAGGGCGGATGGAATTACACACCCAGAGAACTCGCTCGAGAAATCCTCCGGGAGAACATGCTGCCACGCGGTCTACTTTTAGACTCTGCACCACAGCTCACGGGCCCTCGATGACCTGCTCGGCTCCCACACAGGATGCGGGCGGGGGCCCGGGTCCACCCGATCTGATCGCAAAATGGCTCTGGGGCCAGACGGCCGGGTTCCAGGCCCCAGGCAGGCGCTCATAGGCTTTGGAACCTTTGTCTAGATTCCTGGTGCCTCGTGCTCCTCAGCGGTCAGGGGAGAACCTTCCTCACTAGGGTGTGGGGACGGCAGGTCGGAAGCGCTCAGCACACCGGCCGGGCAGACAGTGAGGGTGCCATGAGCGTTAGCTGTGACGAGTGTTACCTGGCACAGGGGAGGGGAGGTGTGCTGCCTTCACTCTTACACTCCGTTTCTAGCCACCTACACGGAGCTCTCGGATTTGTTTTCATTCTTTTTTGTAATTTTTTTCCATCACAGTTGACATTCAATATTATTCTGTATCGGCTTCAGGTGTCCGGCACAGTGGCTAGACCAGTGGTTCTCAGCCTTGGCTGCACATGAGAATCACCTGGGAATCTTTTTAAAATCCTGATTTCTGGGCCTCATCCTCCGGAAATTCTGTTTCTATTGTTATTGGAGAGAGAGCACAAGATCAAAAACAAAAAAACAGGATTCCCGAGGAAGAGGCACACAAATCAAGATTTTAAACAGATTGCCAGG